CTGGCAAGTGGAAAAGAGGAGGGGAGGGGATTAGGGGAGGCCTAATCCCTGCCTAAAATGGGATTTGCCTGGGGGGTAAAGCTGGCCAAAGGAAGGGTGGGCCGGCTGAGGAAAAATGGCTTAGCGTGACAGCTCTGCCTCTCTTAAAAGTGGGGTTTTTTGCTGACAAGGGCAAGCTGGATCCGGGGACAAACGGTTGCGAATTCCTGAGGGGGTGTGTGTGGATGACACAGCTTTCTTTCTTTCTTTCTTTCTTTCTTTCTTTCTTTCTTTCTTTCTTTCTTTCTTTCTTTCTTTCTTTCTTTCTTTTTCTTTCTCCTTCTTTCTCTCTCTTTCTTTCTTTCCTCTCTTCCTTTCCTTTCCTTCCTTTTTCTTTCTTTCTTTCTTTCTCTTCCTTTTTCCTTGAATTTCTTAATTCCTCCTCCTTCTTTTTCTTTTCCTTTCTTAATTTCTCCTTCTTTTCTTCCTTCCTTCTTCCCTCTCTTCCTCTTTCTTTCTTTCCTTTTTTTAATTTCTCCTCCCTCTTTCTTCCTTTCCTTTCTTTCTCTCGTCTTTTTCCTTTCTTTTTCTTTCCCACTGTCTCCTTCCTTCCTTCCTCTCTTTCTGTCTTTCTTTCTTCCACTCTTAATTTCTCTTTCCTTCCTCCCTCCCTCTTTTTCTTTTTCATTCTCTTATTTCTTTCTTTCTCCTCCGTTGTTCTTTCTTTCTTTTTTCTCTTCCCTTCTTTTTTCCTTTAATTACTTAATTTCTCTTCTTTCTTTCTTTCTTTCTTTCTCTTTCTTTCTTCTCCCTCCCTCTTTCTTCCTCTCTTTCTGTTTGTTCTTTCTTTCGTCCATTCTTAATTTCTCCTTCCTTCCTTCATCCCTCTTTCTTTCTCTTTATTCCTTTAATTTCTTAATTTCTCTTCTTTCTTTCTTTTTTCCTTTAAATTCTTTCTTTCTTTCTTCTTTTTCTTTCTTTCTTCTCCCTTCCTCTTTCTTCCTCTCTTTGTCTTTGTTCTTTTTTTCCATTCTTAATTTCTCCTTCCTTCCTTCTTTCCTTCCTTCCTTCCTCCCTTTCTTTCTTTCTCTTTATTCCTTTAATTTCTTAATTTTTCTTCTTTCTTTCTTTTTTCCTTTAATTTCTTAATTTCTTCTTTCTTTCTTTCCTTTCTTCTTTCCTTCTTTCTTTCCTTCCTTCTTTCCTTCTTTGTTTTTCTTTCCTTCCTTCCTTCTTTCCTTCTTTCTTTCTCTTTCTTTCTTTCTTTCTTTCTTTCTTTCTTTCTTTCTTTCTCCTTCCTTCTTTCTTTCTTTCTTTCTTTCTTTCTTTCTTTCTCTCCCTCCCTCCCTCCCTCCCTCCCTTCCTTTCCTTCTTGGCCTTCGGACTTTTTGCTGCAAAAAACAAGCACTTCCCCCCCCCCCTCCACACACACACACCACTTTGCCGGTCTTAATCTGCAGAGTCAGAGGAGAAAGCAACCCCAGCTGCTCCAGGATCTGGCCAGCCCCCCCCTCTTGTTTGTGTGTGTGTGTGTTTGTGTGTGTGTGTGTGTGTGTGTGCCTAGGCCCTGGGCACAGAGACCCAACGTCCTTCACGCGTCTGGCATCAATGAATAAAAAGAAATCAAATCCAATCAAATCTCGATTTCCGAAGAGGGAGGAGGAGAAAAGAGCTACCGGTTTGGGGGTGAAGCATAAGAGAGACACCCCTGAATTCTTCAAAGGGGTGTTTCATTTGCGTGGGGGAAAGAGAGAAATGGCAAAGGGACACCCTGATCTACTTCCTTCCTAGGTTACAATCCACCATTCCATGACTAAGCAAAACAAACCAGCATCGTGCTCTCAAAAGGAAACAGGGAGAAATGAAATACAATAAAAATAATAAAATAAAATAAAATAAAGTAAAATTAAAAAAGTAAAAATAATATAATATGATATAGAATAGAACAGAAGAGTAAAAAATAAAACAATAAAAAATAAAATAAAGTAAAACAAAACAATAAAGTAAAATGTAAAATAAAGTAAATAGAATAAAGGAAAATAAAATAAAAAGGGAAATAGAGGAAAATAAAATAAAGTAAAATAAAAAAGTAAAATAACATAATATAATACAATATAGAATAGAATAGAAGAATAAAAAATAAAATAATAAAAAATAAAATAAAGTAAAATAAAACAATAAAATAAAATGTAAAATAAAGTAAATAGAATAAAGGAAAATAAAATAAAAAGGAAAATAGAGGAAAATAAAATAAAGTAAAATAAAAAAGTAAAATAACATAATATAATCTAATATAGAATAGAAGAATAAAAAATAAAATAAAGTAAAATAACATAACATAATATAATATATAACTGAATAGAATAGAAGAGAAGAATAAAAAATAAAATAAAGTAAAATAAAAAAGTAAAATAACATAATAGAATAGAATATAGAAGAGAAGAGAATAATAAAAAAATAAAATAAAATAAGTAAAATAAAATAAAATAAAATAAGTAAAATAAAATAATAAAAGAAAATAAAACAAATAAAGTAAAATACAGAATTTCCAAAAGTTTTAGGCTGGAGAATTTTTTGGGGGGGACGGACACATACACCCCCCCCCCAGCATCGGATCCCTTCAAAGAAAAGCCCAAAGTCTCCCTTCTTCCTGTTTCTCTCCCTAGAACTCTTCCCCCCTCCCCAAAAAAAAGCAGGCCAGGAAAATTGGAGTGGAGGGTTCCCCCCCTCATATTTTACTTTGGATACAGCGGGGACCCCCCCACACACGGTTTGAGGGGAAAGAGGGAGGGAGAGAAATAGGGGTGCCCCCTCCTCACTTTTCCAACCCAGACATTGCATTCAACCCCCCCCCCCAATGATGGTTTTCTTTTTTGGGGGGGGGGTGCCTGCAAGCTATTGCTCTGGAATCGGGGAGGGGGGGTCCCGTGGAGGCTCTGGCAGGAAAAGTGGGGCACAAAGAAGATTTGGGGTGTTTTGGGGGGGCAGCATCAGCAGGAGGGAGCTGAGATGGAGGAGGGGCGACTTTGACTTTGCCCTCTCCCCCCCCCAAACAGAGGGGCTCGTCGTCCCTCCGGTGCCCCCCTGACCTTGGGGAAGCAACCCTTCTCGGCCCCCCCGCACACCTGAGGGGACCCCTCCCCACACCAGGATAAGCGTTGCATGAATGTCCTCGGGACGAGGGAGACCCCCACACACACACCGCAATTCCCTCTGTAAGGCCTGCCCTTCTCAATGGCCGGGATGAGGGGTGGGAGCGGGTCCAGAAAAAGAGGGGGGTCCCGCTGGCCCCTCCAGGATTGGCAAAGCCGTCCAGCAGCCCTCTAGCTATCCATTCACCCCTCCCTCCTTCTCTCCCTCCTTCCATCTTTTTTTTCTCTCATCTGTTTCTCTTTTTCTCTCATCTGTTTCTCTCTTTTTCTTTCTCTCTCTCAGCTGTTTCTTCCTTTCTCTCTCATCTATGTTTCTTTCTTTCTCTCTTTCTATCATCTCTTTCTCTCCCTCCCTTTCTCTCTCTCTCGTCTATATTTCTCTTTCTTTCTTTCTCTCTTTCTCTCCATCTCATCTATGTTTTTTTCTTTTTCTCCCTCTTTCTATCATGTTTCTCTCTTTCTCTCTATCTCATCTATGTTTCTCTCTTTCTATGATCTGTTTCTCTCTATCTCATCTCTTTATCTCTTTCTCTTTCTTTCTCTTTCATCTGTTTCTCTCTTTCTCTCATCTATTTCTCTCCCTCTCATCTCTCTCTCTCTTTCT